ATGGCTTAGAACCTTGATCTGTGTTGTGTGATAATATTCATAGGCTAGGAAGCATGATACTGTGATCTACTTAATGGGCTTTTTAGCTCATCCAATATAATATAATATAATATTATGTTATGCTTTAGTAATATTATATTATATTATATCACATTAAAAATACTAAGATTATGTATTTATATTATGCATAGTGAATAATGATCAACAAAAATGTTACGAAAGATTAAGTTCCTACTGTCATAGGAACTTAATCTTTCATTTTTTAACAAAGGAATGAGAGCTTTGTTGAAAGATTACTGGTTGGACTTGGATCTACCTCGCCCGCGCTCCCTCGGGGACCTGCATTTGATTGACTCCCTCTCGAACAACCGCCTTGACCTCACCAGTGTAGGTATCGCATGTGTGTCACGTGTGGATAGGTATGTTGAAGTATGATATAATTTTAAAGTGATGAAGGGATTGACTTGAGCACTTACCTCACCGCGGTTTGAGTTCGTGGGATAAGCCCAGGCTATTTCTCTCTTAAATCAATGAACGAAAGTCCTTCGGTTGTCCAACAGCACGGTTTGAATGCGCCCCCCCGTCTAAACTCAATACCTCACCTCAACTCTCACTTGAAAACTGCTAGTGAAATCCAAATATAATGTACTCCTCTTTGATGTGTTTTATGAGTTAATGGTTCTAGTTTTGGGGTAGAGTGATAGGACAAGAATAAAAGGAGATCGATAAGAAATTGGTTTAGAGAAGAGAAGAATAAGAAGAACAAAAAGAAGTAAAAGAAGCCAAGGGATGACACGAAGACACTATCTCAGGATGACCCCAAATCAAGTGCTCCAGAGGTAAAATAAACAATGGGTTAAAGAGAGAAATAAAAAAATGATGAAGTAAAAATGAAGTAAAATAAATGAGAAATGAAAGTATGACTTAGAAGGAGAAAGGAGTGCTTAAGGTGAGAGGAAGTGGGATGAATGGATTCAAAGGATGATTGACCCGCTGGTCGGACCTGGTTCTCAGGGGTCGGGAGAGAATCCTCTCTCGGACAACCATGGGGTCACTCGCACGCAGATGTGGGGGTGCACACCGGTGTGGGGATGCGTTGGCATGAGGGCTCCAGTGTATGTAGAGAGGTTGGGGCATGACTCGGTTAGGAGAGAGGGAGGATGGGTACGTGCGCTTGGAGTGTTTACAGACCTACGTACTCTGAGGTATTTTCTCTCCCTCAAAGTTTTCTCTCTCCTCTCTGCGGGATTAAGAACTCAGATGCAAACGACGAGAAGAACAAACTTAATACCTCTGTTTTATAATAGGTAAATACTTCGCCCAAAGGGGTCCTTTTACAAGTGAGCTAAGCTTGCTTATATAGAGGATTCACCAACTAGGGATGAACACTAAACAACAAAGCATAATTACAATTTAAAAAATTATGAATAAATCCTGAAATTAAGCACAATGACCAAAATATCCCTGAGATCTTTTCTGCTAATGATGAAGCCGTTTCTGTATGGAGGTCGTTCCGTCATGGCCAGATCTTAAAAGTGTTTTACGCAACTTGTAGTGATGGTTCAGATGATTTGTCAGCATATCTTCAATGTCCTCGCAATTATGAGCATTTTGATGCCCTTTAATCGTGCTGGGGTCGCCTTTTTGCCACGGGGTAGAAGTCCAGCCAGATTCGTGAACTTTGCTCACCAATGCAGTTTGACTTGTGATGTTCTGGCTCTTGGCTCTTCTTACAAATGAGAGAGGAGATAGCCGCAGTCATTTTGCACCAAGTTTGGGCAGATTTGGTACTGGTTTACATTTTGCGTAATTTGGGAGGTTGCCGGAAGGAGGGATTTTGGCAAACAAGCGGATTTACTTCTTCTGTGACCTGGGAACTTGCATCCATCAGAGCTTGGATTAAATGCAAGAGTTATACCAATTTACAGCTCTTTGGGAGGTGATTACATTAAACTCGTCCCCACGGTGATTTGATGCTTGGATGTTAAGCTGTACTTTACGCGATTCGAGGCGTCTTCTTCTTAAACCTTGGCTTTTTTGGTTTTGCGGGCACCTTCTTTCCAGGAGAAATTTGACTCTATGTCACGCCACAGTGCATGCCTTATGTCAAAATGACGAGGCTAGCGTGATCTAGAACATATATGTATCTGGACTTTTCCTAGTTTCAGTGGAAGGTGCC